CACGTCATGACTTGTGGCGCGTGCAAATTTTTGACAACGAACTCTTGGGTGGTCTTGGGGCGGTCTTGGGAGGCTCTTCGGCGCTCTTGAACCGTTGGAAGCTCGAAAGCGCGAGAAGTCAACAACATTGAAAATACAGGCCGCTTCCAAATTGCCCACGACAGGCCAGGCGGGCCGTGCAGATGGTCACGGAAGCCTGAAGAGGCCCCGAAGAAGCCCAAGAGCGCCCCAAGAGGGCCTGTGAGGGCCCCGAGAGGGCCTTCAAGAGGCAAGCGTTGGCCCATTTCCTTTGTAAAACGTATTTTTTCGGCATACTCGCTGGCTTCGTCTTCGCAGTGCTCCAGACGCCCCCGCGGAGCCCCAACACAGCCCACGAGAGACCCAAGAGGGCCCCAGATGGCCCAAAAGGGTAGGCCTTTGGTGCTCACTGAACCCCCCAAGACGGCCCAAGAGGCCCCGAAGCCAGCCCAGGAGGCCCCCAAGACGGCCTCAGGGAGGCCCAGGAAGGCCCCGTTCGAAATCATGTTCCCGGAAGCCTCTCGGGGAACATTACTTCCGGGCTCCCAGGGCCCCCTACTGAGCCCCGGGACAGCCTCAGCGAGGCCCCAGAGGGCCCGAGATGGCTTGAAGATGACCGAAGAGGGCCCCAAGAGGGCCTTCAAGAGGCAAACATCGGCCCATTTCCTGTGTAAAACGTGCATTTTCGGCATACTCGCTGGCTTCGTCTCCACAGTGCCCCAGACGCCCCCGCGGAGCCCCAACGCAGCCCCAAAGAGACCCAAGAGGGCCCCAGACGGCCCAAAAGGGTCGGCCTGTGGGGCTCACTGAACCCCCCAAGACGGCCCAAGAGGCCCCGAAGCCGGCCCAGGAGGCCCCCAAGACGGCTTCAGGGAGGCCCGAGAGGGCCCCGTTCGAAATCGTGTTCCCGGAAGCCTTTCCGGGAACATGACTTCCGGGTTCCGAGGACGCCCCAGAGGCCCGCATGACAGCCTCAGCGAGGCCCAAGAGGGCCCCAAGAGGGCCCGAGATGGCTTGAAGATGGCCGACGACGGCCCCAAGAGGGCCTTCCATCCCCTTCGTAAAACTTACATTTTCACCATACTCGCTTGATTCGTCTTCACAGTGCCCCAGACGCCCCCGCGGCGCCCGAACACAGCCCAAGAGAGACCCAAGAGGGCCCCAGACGGCCCCAAAGGGTCGTCTTGTGGGGCTCACGGACCCCCCCAAGACGGCCCAATACGCCCCGAAGCCGACCCATGAGGCCCCCAAGACGGCCTCAAGGAGACCCAAGAGGGCCTCGTTCGACATCATGTTCCCCGAAGCCTCTCCGGGAACATGATTTCTGGGCTCCCAGGACGCCCAAGAGGCCCACAAGACAGCCTCAGCGACGCTCCAGAGGGCCCGAGATGGCTTGAAGATGGCCGAAGAGGGCCCCAAGAGGGCCTTCAAGAGGCAAACATCGGCCCATTTCCTTTGTAAAACGTGCATTTTCGGCATGCTCGCTGGCTTCGTCTCCACAGTGTCCCAGACGCCCCCACGGAGCCCCAACACAGCCCAAGAGAGACCCAAGAGGGCACAAGACGGCCGAAAAGGGTCGTCTTGTGGGGCTCACTGAACCCCCCAAGACGGCCCAAGAGGCCCCGAAACCGACCCAGGAGCCGCCCAAGACGGCCTCAAGGAGGCCCAAGAGGGCCCCGTTCGAAATCATGTTCCTGGAAGCCTCTCCGGGCACATGATATCTGGGTTTCCAGGGCTCCCTAGAGGGCCCCAGGACAGCCTCAGCGAGGCCCAAGAGGGCCCGAGATGGCTTGAAGATGGCCGAAGAGGGCCCCAAGAGGGCCTTCAAGAGGCAAAAATCAGCCCGTTCCCGTAGTAAGATGTACATATTCAGCACACGCCCTTGCTTCGTCTTCGCAGTGCCCCAGACGCGTTTGAGGAGCCCCAAGAGGGCCCAAGACGGCCCCAAAGGGTCGTTTTGCGGGGCTCACGGAACCTCCCAAGACAGCCCAAGAGGCCCCAAAGCCAGCCCAGGAGGCCCCCAAGACGGCTTCCAGGAGGCCCAAGAGGGCCTCGTTCGAAATCGTGTTCCCTGAAGCCTTTCCGGGAACATGATTCCCGGGTTCCCCGGACGCCCAAAGACAGCCCCCAGAGGCCCCGGACACGCCGAAGATGGCCTCAGGACGGCCGACGGCGCCGCCAAAACGCCCCAAAAGCGCCTCCAGAGGCCCCTCCAAAGGGCCCCAGAAGCGGGAAATCATGTATTTTCCAATGGTTTTTGAAGCATTCTTGCGCTCTCCCATGTTCCGCTTCCCACGGTCCCGGACCGCGTCAGAGGCTCTTCAGATCGCTCCAAGACGGCCGAAGAGGCTCCCAAGAACGCCCAGAGACGGCCCAGGAGACTCCCCAGATAAGTCAAGAGGGCCTCGGGAGCGCCCCAAGAGAGCCCCAAGAACGACCCAAGAGGACCCGAAGAGCGCGACATTTCAAGGTCTCCAGCCTGAGAGGCTCCTAGGACGCCCCCGGAGGCCATCAAGAGGCTCCTAAGAAGCCCCGTGAGGCTCCCAAGAGGCCCCCCGGAAGCCCCAATGGGCCCCCAAGGGGCCCCCAGGGAAGCCCCCTGCGGGCCCCCAAGACAGTTCGGTAAATCGTATTTCCCAGATAGCTTTCCGGGAACATGATTCCTTGGGCTTCTGCACGCACCCCCAATCATGTTTCCAATAGGCTTGCCGACAAGGCCAAAAAGGCGCCCCTCGGTAAGCCACCGGAGGCCCCCCCCTTAGAGAGCCGAACAAATCATGCTGCTGGAAAGCTTCCTGGGAACATGATTCTCTATCTCGGAGTAGGCCCCGGGGGGGGGGGCGGGCCGCTGCTTGTTCCCCTCATCGGTGCCCACCGGGGGTTGCGGGGGGGGGGTCCAGAGCTCCCGAGGCGGCCCCAGCCCGCCCGAAGCAGGCAACGACAGGCTAAGGGGGTCCTGAGAGGGCCCAAGCCAGTCCCACGAGGCCCCGAAGACGCCCGAGATGCCCTCAAGACAGCCGACGAGGACTCCAGCACGCTCCAGGACGGACTTAAGAGGCTCCCCAAGAGGGCCCTGGAAGGCAAGATTCGTTCGTTTTCCAAGTGTTTTGGATTTTGGTGTTCTCGCTTTTCCTGCTTTTTAGCGCTCCCTCACGGCCTCGGAGGCCCTTCATATCGCTCCAAGAAGGCCCACGAGGCCCCGACGAGGGCCCCAAGACGGCCCAGGAGGCTCCCCAGACAACCCAATTGTGCCCCAAGAGCGCGCCAAGAGAAGGCTCAGAGGGGTCCCGAGGCGGCCCGGGCCCGCCCCGAAGCAGGCCACGACAGGCTAATGGAGGTCTCGAAGAGGGCCCTAGACTGTCCCAAAAGGCCCCGAAGACGCCCAAAATGCCTTCAAGACGGCCGACGAGGACTCCAACACGCTCCAGGAAGGATTCAAGAGGCCCCCCAAGAGGGCCCTGGGAGGCAAGATTCGCTAATTTTCGGATGGTTTTTGAAGGATTTCGGCGTTCTCGCTTCCCCCGCTTCCCAGCGCTCCCTCACGGCCTCGTTCGGAGGCCCTTCAGATCGCTCCAAGACGGGCCACGAGGCCCGGAAGAGGGCCCCAAGACGGCCCAGGAGGCTCCCCAGACAACCCAACTGTGCCCCAAGAGCTCCCCAAGAGAGGGCCCAGAGGGGGACCGCCAACCGATATTTCGATGTCTCAGGCCCTAGAGGCCGCCTGTAGGCCCCCGGAGTCCACCAAGAGGCTCCCACGAAGCCCCGTGACCCAAGAGGCCCCCAGGAAGCGCCAAGAGACCCACAAGGGGCTCCCAGGGAACGCCCAAGAGGCCCCCCAACACACCCCAAGAAATTATGTCCCCAGAAAACCTTCCGGGGACATGGTTCATCATGGGCCCGAGAGTTCCTGGAGGCTCCCATTGGGCCCCCAGGGAACGTCCAAGAGACCCCCCAACACACCCCAACAAACCATGTCCCCAGAAAGCCTTCCAGCGACATGGTTCATCATGGGCCCGCGAGTCTCCGGATGCTTCGAAGTACCATCATGCTACAGGAGAGCTGTCTGGGAAGTTGATTGGGAACATGACTGATCCCCTTCTCGCGGCCCTCCGCAGATCGTTTCGCACAAAGTTGCCCCAAGTGCCCTCTTGAACCGACGACGACGACGACGACGAAACGACGAAGACGACGACGACGGCGACGACGACGACGACGACGGCGCGCCCCAATGTGCGACGACGACATTACGACGACGACGACGACGACGACGACGGCACGCCCCAACAGGCTCCCCAAGACGCCCCCAAACCCATGCTCCCAGAAGGCCTTCCGGGAACCCGATTCATACGGCCTCCGCCCCGTGTAGCAATGAATTCGTCAAGGTCTGGGGCCTGCTAGAACCTGAGCGCGCGCGAAGCGCGCGCGATGGTTCTAGTACATATATACATACACACATATGTCTATGTATTTATTTATTTATTTATTTATTTATTTATTTATGTATTTATTTGTTTATTTATCTATTTATTTACTTATTTATATTTATATATATATATATATATATATATATATATATATATGTATATCTATATATGTGTATATATGTACATATATGAAACATTTATGTACGTATGTATTGAAACGTTTTCCAAACAACTGTGCGCGCCCTACATGCAAGCCGCCTGCAGATGGAAAAGGGCTCGTCTGCGTTCCGTTCCATCGCCGTCTTTGCTCAAGTTTTTCGCGCGGCATCGCCATCCCAGTCTGTATGGGCCTCCTCGGTTTCCTGAGTAAAGCTGCGCGGGGCGGCCTTGCTATCCTTGATACTCTTGGGCCGAGTCTCGGGCCGCTGGCAGAGGAGGCATCTGACTGTGCGCTCGCCGTCGGCTCGTTCGGGAGCGTCCGAGCGCTTGTGATTATGACCTTGATCACCGGCTTCTTGGTCGGGGTCGGCCTGTCGCTCTGCTGCTGCCTCTCTGGCCATGTCCTATCTTCGACCTGGGCGGCGCGTGCGCATACAGTGGGAGAGGGGTGGTACCTGGCAGGATCGGATCTTGCTATGCGAGTGCCAGAGTTCGGAATGCGAGGCCGAGCTGGAGCTGACCCCGAGCAAGGCGGAGATCCTCGGCCGCCGCGTGTTGTACGCGCTCTCACCGGACCTGGATGTGTATCCCCATATCCTGTTGGAGACTCAGCTCGTCGGCTTCGTGGCTCTGACGAACGACGGGACGCCGATCTCGGAGTCGGGGTGTGGGAAACGGTGGAGGGCGGCGAGTGCGGCATACGGCGCCGACTGGGAGCCGACCGCGCTCGAGGTCTGCGAGGCACTGGAGGCGGTGAGGCCAGGGTGTCTGTCGCTGCAAGGCGACGAGAAGCCATCCAGGCGCTTGGGGGGGAAGGTGTCTTCGAGGTCGACTCCACCGGCAGCAGCAGCAACTAGCGTGGTGGAGGAGCTCTACCCAGGTTTGTTGGTGGGGGCAGGTGCGCTGCCCGACGTCAGCGGACATAGCTGGTTTGCCCTGTCGGCGGATGACGCATCTCAGCTTCGCCAGGCGGTGAGATCCAGAGACTTCGACGGCTACCTGATCGTGGACAAAGTCGGCATCGCGACCAAGGGGACCGAGTGTCTGCTGGTGAAGGCTGTGGACCCCGCCGCTCCAGGCCCCGAGTTCGAATCGGACGCGCGGGTGCTGGGCGTCGGGGCGCGGGCCGACGGCAGCCGACATCGTCACTTCACGGAGGCCGCGCTCCAGGTCACTACCACGGAGTGGCCCGAGTGGCCCATCATGGGTGCAAGGACGGCGTCCTGGTGCCTGGAGTTTCTGGCGCGCCAGGACCAGTACCCACGCGCGCGGCACGCCGAGTGGGTGCGCGAGTGCCGGCTGGAGGCCGCAGACGAGGGCGTCGGGGACCATGGCCTCGCGAAGAGGATGGCGGAGCTGGGCCTCAGCTTCGACCAGCTGAACCTCGGGGAGCTGGCCTCATTCGAGCTCTTGATGAGGAAGGCCCAGATGGCCGAGTGGCGCCATCGCGATCGCCTCGCAGCTGTCCAAGGTGACGACCTGATGGAGGAGAGCTACCTCAATCTCGGCACTGGAGAGACGCGTGGCTTGGTGATGGTGGCGCCGGCTTTGGTCGATCATATCAATCAGGAGATGCGTCGTGAGGCGCAGATCCTCAAGGGGCGCCGCAAGGCCAAGGGGGAGAGGTTGCTCTCGCGTGGCGGAGGCGGTGGAGGCGGCGCAGGCTCTGGAGGGTCGAAAGCGGAGTTGCACAGGGAGATCCAGCAACAGGCCGCCGAGTTGAAGAAGCTCCAGGACAAAGGTGCAGGGAAGGGCCAGGCGGCTGGCCGCGGGGCCGGCCGGGGCCAATGACGCGGCCTCATGGGCTCGCGCCCCGCGAGCTGCTGCCCCTGACCGGCTTCGCGGCGGCGCGAAGTGCCGACGGCCCCGCTGGGCTGTCGAGATCGGTGCGCTCGAGAGTGCGCCGTCGCCTGCACGTCGCGAACTGGATCGCCGACGCGGCCGAGAGCTTGAACGCCATGTGCGGTCACGGTGGCGCCCGAGATCATTTTTCTGTTTCAGCTGGGCAGCAACGCAGCCTGGAATACGCGCAATCAATCATCGAGCAGGCGGGCCCGCCTCCTTGCTCACCCGCGGCAGCCCGTGCGGAGCTGCGCGGCCGTCGGCCGGGCTGCGACGCCGAGCCCGAGCATCCAGCCCAGTGCCAGAGGGAGATTCTCTCCCTGCCGGGGCCAGGCGCGCGCTGCGATCCCAGTGACGTCATGTGCTGCCTCGAGCACGATCAGTGGGTGCATTGGGAGAGACATTTGTCGCGCCGAACGCCTGCGCCAGACTGCGACATCAAGCTGCACAACGATCGCAACCTCATGGCGGACAGGCGGTGCTATACGCAGTTCATCCTGGACCTGTACACCTCCGGCCTCATCAGAGTCGGGGCTAAGCGCAGTGCCGCGGTGGGTGTGTTTTGCGTTTGGAAGAGCGGGCGGCAGCGCCTCCGGCTCATCTTCGACGCGCGTCGAGTTAATGCACGTTCTCACGAGCCTGATCATTCTCAGTTGCCCAGTGCAGCAGCTTGGGCCGCGCTGCGCACAGAGCCGACTTCTTCTTTGCACATGGCCCAGGCTGATGTGGACAATGCTTTCTACCGTGTGAAGCTCCCTGACAAGATGGACGAACATTTCTCGTTGCCCAGTGTGCATCTGGGTACGCTCCGACAGCTGGCTGATGAGGCGGGGGTTGACATGGGCCTGCCCGAGGCCCGCTTCGGCTCGCCACTCTTGCAGGTGCTGCCGATGGGGTGGTCGTGGAGCCTCTACTCCTGCCAGAGGCTGCTGGATACCGCCGTGCTGCGGTCGGAGATTGACGCCGGACCGCTGATCAAGGGCCTGCATGCTCCTCTCCAGGTTCGCACCAGCTCGACTCAACCTGGCGTGTGCGTCGACAACGTGTGCATCGTCGGCGGCGACGGCGACCGCTGTGTAGCCGACTGTAGCGCTGTCGTCGGGAAGCCGGAGGAGGTCGGCCTGAAGTGCAAGGGCGTGATGGAGCCCGAGGACCTGCAGACCTTCACGGGCATCACCTTCGAGAGGCGCAGTGGCCGCGTCGGGGTCAGTGCGGCTCGGATGTGGAGGGTTGCCTCGCGTTGCTGTTCGTGGCGGCCGCCGCTCAGCCACTGGGGGCGAGATCGTCAGCTTGCTCGGGCACTTCACTGGGGCCGCCTTGCTGAGGCGGCCTCTCCCCAGTATTTTTCCACGGACCTACGTCTTCGCCCGGGTTGCTGGGCGCCGCCGGCTGCGGCTGTGGGGCCGCGTGGAACTCGAGCTGCCGCAGGCGGCTGCGCTGTTGGTCTTCGCCCTCTCCGACTCGAAGAAGCCCGGCGGCGCCTTCGTCTGCGCCTCCGACGCCTCCAGGGGGCAAGCTGGCTTGGAAGGCGGCTGCGGCGTGGCGGGCCAGACATGGGCCAACGAGCTCGTGGGGCACACCGCGGCGTCGGCCGAGGCTTGGCGATTTTCAGTGCTGGGCGCCATCGGAGCCAGGGAGTGCGCGCTGGGCTTCGGCCCGGTCGAGGGGACCAAGGTCGGCCGGCGCCGGGCGCGCGCCGGCTCCACCAGCTTCGAGGGCGTCGGACGGGCCGCGATCAGAGACTTCAGTGACTGGGGGGTCCTCTTCCATGGCGATCGAGTTCCAGCGCGATGGGGACGTCGCAGTCCTGGAGGGTCGAGCGGCGGTGATGGCCGCGCGGCACGCTGTGCGAGGGCGCAGCGGGCACGGCCATCGGCATCTCATTCTGGTCGACAACCTCGGGCTTGCCCTCGCGGTTGGGAAAGGGCGATCTCCCTCCATCACTCTCAATCACCTCTTGCAGCAGCTGTGCGCCATTTCCATTGTCACCGACGCCGCCTTCATCCTCTGATGGATCCCTTCAGAGTGGAACCCCGCCGACAAGCCCTCTAGGCTCAGGCTTCATCGCGCGCTGGGCGCCCGCGCTGGCCCCCGGCGTGCTGCGCATCTCGGAGGTGCGTCAGACGGCCCCAGCGGTCACCGAGCCCTGTGGCGGGACGTTGGCGCGCTCGTGCGGAGGCGCCACTGCCGCGGCGGCCCGACCTCGGAGCCGCAGCCCGCCAGCCCCAGCAGTCCTGGCGCGGCCGGGCTCGGGGGCGCTCCCCGTGGCGACCCCTGCCCGCTCGGTGGGCTCGCGGGCCTCTTCAGCGGGCCGGGCGGTGGCGGCGCGGACTCCGGCAGCTCCTCGACTTCGAGTTCCGAAGTCCTCAGCGATGAGCAGTCCGAGGCCGCCGCCAGCGAGGGCCGAGGCGCTCCGCCTGGCCGTTGTGAAGGCCTGCCGGTCAGCCCACCGCGGCGCGAGCGAGCGAGCCCGGGCCGAGTGGCTCACGGTCCTGCAGAGCCTGAAGGTCGGCAGCGCGTCGCGGGTCTATTTCCAGACGGAGTACCTGGACTTCGTGAGTTGGGCCCGCTCGAGGGGGCCGTCGACGCTCGGGGTGCGCGCGATCGACCTCAAGCTTCGCCCAGTACCTCGATTTCCTCTTCTGGGAGGGCCACAACCACCACAAGGGGGACAAGGCCTTCGCGGCGCTGAAGCACTACAACCCTGGGTTGGGGCTGAGTTCGGCGGCGGCGCTGGCGCGGGCCACTGCCGGGCTTCGGGGCTTTCGCAAGCTGGCGAGGGTCTCGACGCGGGCCCCCGTGGCGAGGGGGCTGCTGTTCGCGGCTGTAGGCATCGCTCTGCGCCGAGGTTGGCGCAGCTTCGCCGTCGCCCTGGCCCTCAGCTGGGGCGCGATGGTTCGGCTGCCGAGCGAGCTCGTGCAGATGACGCGCGCGACCTTGGTCGCGCCCGCGCCTCGATCGGGCCGTGCTGCGTGGGGCCTCCTGCTGTTCCCAGAGGAGCTCAACGAGGTCAGCAAGACCCTGGGCTGCGACGAGGGCGTCGTCTTGTCGGACGAGATGTCCGCTGCGCTCGGGCCCGAGCTGGCCGGGCTGTCTCGCGCGCGCGCGGGCCGCCAGCCGCCCTGGGACTTCGACGCGACGGGCTTCAACTCCAAGTTCGCGGCGGTGTTCGACCAGCTGGGCCACCAGGACTGCCACCCGTGCCAGGTGCGCCGCGGCGGGGCCTCGTTTTGAGCGGCGGTGCTGGGCGAGAAGCTGGCGGACATCCAGGCCATGCTGAGGCGCCAGTCGGACAACTCGACGAAGAGGTACGCCCGGCACGTCAGGCACTTCGCGGAGGTAGGCAAGCTGAGCCCCGAGGTCACCCAGTTCGGGCGGGAGGTGGGCGCCAACCTGGCCGACCTGCTGCGGGGCCGGGCGCCGCTGCCGCCGCCGCCGCGGGCTCGCGCGCTGCCCTTCGCTCTGGGCGGTGCTGGCGCGGCGGCGACGCCGGCGGCGCGGCCGAGGCCCTGACAGATGCTGCGGTGCGGCGGCACTGGCGCGCCGCGCTGCGGGCGGCCCTTGCTGGCTCGCGGAAGCACCAGGTGTACCTGGACCTCTTCAGTGGCACCGGCAAGGTCGCGAGCTGGCTGGGGCGGAAGTCGGGCTACGCGGTCCTGCGGGTCGACGTGGCCGCCCACCCCGCTTTCGACCTCTCGCGGCGCGTGTGCGGCGCCATGGTGATAGGCTGGTTGAGGGCCCGCGTCGTGCGAGGCGTGATGTGTGCACCGCCTTGCAGCACTTGGTCTCAGGCCTCTCGTCATTTTTATCGCTCGCCTTATGCATTGAACGGCCTGCCAGGCCTGCAAGGCAAAGCCGCTGCTAGGCTTCGCATAGGCAATGCTACTTTCCACTTCGCCATGAGAATTGGCTTCGAATGCAAAGGCCTCGGGGTTCCGTTCGTGCTCGAGAACCCTCGGTCGTCTATGATGTGGTTGCATCCTCGCATGCTGCTCCTCTCTCGCTCCTCTTGTAAAGACGCCAATGTATATTTTTGTCAGCACGGCACCAGATGGAGAAAAGCTACCCGTTTCCGCGGATGGTGCACCTGCGCTCCGCCTCAGCCTCTCTTGCACAGTTGCCGAGGGCGAGGCGGATTCTGTAGCAAGTCTAATATCAGGCACATTTCTTTGGAAGGCGGCGGGCCCGGAGGCAAGCGGTGGACAGCCATCGCCGAGCCCTGCCCTGCCCCCGTCGCCGCTGCCGCTGGTCTCTGGCTGCACCGCTCCGCTGAGCGTCGCCTGTCCGTTCGTCTTGCTAGCCTCGGTTCCCGCTAATGTGCAAACCAGTGCCTCGCGAAAGTTGTTTGTGTGGCTGGGATGGCGGCTGCTAGGCATCCAGTATGGTCTATGGCCCTCGTTTTCTGTTGAATGCTCGATCTCGATTGCGAAGCTCCTCGAGGTCGTAAGGCAATTGCCCTCGCTCTCACCAGATCTGCGCTCTGGCAAGAAAAAGATCGGGCAGTGCATTGAAACGTTTTTTTTCCAAACAGCTGTGCACGCCCTAAATGCAAGCCGCCTGCAGATGGAAAGGGCTCGTCTGCGTTCCGTTCCATCGCCGTCTTTGCTCAAGTCCCCCTCTTCCTCTCCTCCTCCACTTCCTACAACATGGGCGCGCCTGTTCAGTTGGCCCTCGTCTTCTGTTGAATGCTCGATCTCGATTGCGAAACTCCTCGAGGTCGTAAGGCAATTCCCTTCGCTCTCACCAGATGTGCGCTCTGGCAAGAAAAAGTTCGGGCACTGCATATATATACACATATATGTATGTATGTATGTATGTATGTATGTATGTATGTATGTATGTATGTATGTATGTATGTATGTATGTATGTATGTATGTATGTATGTATGTATGAATGTATGTACATCGATATGCGTGTGTATGCGTAGGTCTCGTCACCCTATCCTCGGGGGGTCGAGCCCAGACATCCAGCGCATCGACAGAGGGCAGCGACAGGGGCGTCGCGGGGTCGCCCCAGCCGTCGTTCGACGATGGAGGTTCGGGCGCAGATATCTAGCGCCTCGAAGGATCGAGGCGGCTGGTTTGTTGTGTGTTTGGGATTCGGGGTCGTCAACGAAGCGGCTTGGTGTCGGGTGGCTCACACCCTACGGCCGCGCACTGGCCTCCTCCGCCTCCCAGTTCTCTCCTGCTCCCTCCTCTTCCTCCCCCTCTTCCTCCGCGGTCGTGCGATCAATTGAGCTCTATGTGAAGCCCCGGGCACACATGTTGCCGCTGACGGGCGCCCGGTACCTCCTTCTCCTCCTCCTCCTCCTTCTCCTCCTCTTCCTCCTCCCCTCTGCACTGCAGCGTCGTCGCCTTGCGCGCGCCCGCCCGCGAAGGCGGTCTGGCGCGGCCACCAGGCCTGTTTTACCTTCGGCCTGGGCCAGGGGCTGCTGCAATGAATAGAGGCAGATTTGCACTTCCAGTGGCATGGTTGATTCGGCCTCTTTGCAACCTGACGCTTGGCTTTACTCCTGACGGATTTTTTGGCTTCCGTGGCCCCCCTCATCAAACATTGAGATGCGCGATGTCTAGGTTTGCCTTTGCCTCCAAGGGTCCGCGGTTCGATCGGTTCGGCTGCGTCGCAGTCGGTTGCGTTCGGTCGGTTCGGTCCGTTGTTGTGTCACTGCTGCGTCGGTGCGCCCTTCTATGCAGTTTGCGGCTTCTCGGCTTCGTTTTTTTGCCTTCGCAATCTGTTCGGTCGGTTCTCGGTTTTGCTGTCCTCTGGCCGTTGCCTCTCCTGGAAAGTCGAGGGTGGAGGTTCTCGGTTGCGCCTGGGTCTTTCTGCGAAAACGCGAGATGTTCAGCTTGTCTTCTGAACGTAGAGCAGCGGTTCCCTGAGATGTTGGAGTCACGTTTTTTGTCGCCACAGGCTATTCTGCCTGGATTCTGGCCACGGGGCACTCACGGATCGATCCGCCTCGAGGAATGCCGCAGAACGATGGGGTCTGGGGCTGCGGTCGTGACTTCTTACGATGTTGCCTTTTTTGTCGCAGCGTCGGATCCCAGGGGCACGCAGGTCGGCGGTTCAGAGACGGGGTTCTTAACTGTGCTGCCAAGAAGTAGTTGGCCTTTGCTTTCTGTTTTTCGCCCAGTGGGCGCCTCGTGGGCGCCCCGTGCGTTGACTGACGCCTCGTGGGCGCCCCGTGCGTTGGCTGGCGTTTCCGGATTTCCGGTCGGTGGGCGCCCGTGGGCGCCTCATGCGCCCCTCGTGCGACGCTCGTGGGCTCTGAGGCCGTCTTGGGCCATCTCGGGCGCTCTGACGCCTCGCGGGGCGCCCCGTCCAGACCCTGGGAGAGGGGTAGGGGGGGGGGTCAAGACACCCTCCAGATAGCAAACCGTCTAGCTCACACCCGAGCATGAGCATGTTCAGCGGCCATCTTTGGATGGACAGCTACTTGGAACCAAAACCAACCCCATGTGCGCGACGCTGGGGCGAGGTGCGCCACACGTGCCAGGCGCACCGCGCGCCAGGCACCCCTGGGGACCGAGCGTGCTAGGCACGCCTGGTGCGCCAGATGCGCCACGTGCTCCCCGTGCGCCAGGTGTGCCGCATACTCCAGCCGCGCCAGGTGCGCCACGTTCGGGGCACGTGCAGAGTGTGTCAGGTGCGCCTGCGCACGTGACAGCACAAATCGGGGATCATGTCGGCCCCCCCCACCATACTTGTCGCCATACTTGTCGAAAACCAATGCCCATCATTGTGTCTGGTGGGCCTGCGCACAGCAGGCCATACGCCACCACCCCAGCCGTCCCTGTCAAAAACCACTTGACAGTGATCGCGGGGTGGCCGCGCATGATCCAGATTTAGCCGCGAGGTGCATTCTGTATTGTTTTTCCCCACATCCTGAGTGGGGTTCTTGTTTTCCCAGAACATCCTCTCCTTCTCCCTCCCGCCTCCCGCCTCGCATATCAATACCATTTCCACCCTTCCAGGGAGGCCCCGCCTGAGCGAGGAGGGTATCGGAAAACCATACTATTTACATGGTTTCGTGCCCTTCCCACCTCTCCAGGGAGGCCCCGCTTGAGCGAGGAGGGTATCGGAAACCCATACTATTTACATGGTTTCGTGCCCTTCCCACCTCTCCAGGGGGGCCCCGCTTGAGCGAGGAGGGTATCGGAAACCCATACTATTTACATGGTTTCGTGCCCCTACCACCCCTCCAGGGAAGCCCCGTCTGAGCGAGGAGGTATCGGAAACCCATACAATTTACATGGTTTCGTGCTTCCCCACATCCTGAGTGGCCCACCCCTCCAGGGAGGCCCCGCTTGAGCGAGGAGGGTATCGGAAACCCATGCTATTTACATGGTTTCGTGCCCCTCCCACCCCTCCAGGGAGGCCCCGTCTGAGCGAGGAGGTCGCTAACTCGTGTCGTTCGCCGACTATCGCAACCCCGACTAGTTCCTGAGTTGTGATTTGCCATCTCCCTGTTGCGCTTTCGGCCGTACGGGGGCGTTCGCACGTGCTGCAGCAAGGGTAGCAGAACGCGCTGGTGGTGACTTGTTGCCGACGCCATCTGGCACAAGCTTGCCCCGGTCACTCCTTCTCAGGATTTCGCGGGAGGAGGAGGAGGGGGAGGAGAAAGGAGAGGTAGAGGAAAAACAAACAGAGGAAGAGAAGGGGGAGGTGGAGGAGGAGGAGGGAGGTACATGCCTGCCGAATCGATGGTAATCCATACTTCAGGGCCCGCCTTTTAGGGCCCGCCTGAGAAAGACGGCGACGCCGACGCGTATTATTTTTCAAGGCTTCGTTTCCTGAGCACCTGTCCTCCCTCCTCCTTTCTTTCGTCTGCCCTTTCGTGCGTACTTACTCGTTCGATGAGCTTTTCCTTCGTGTTGATGTTGTCGTGCCCCATGGGTCCCACGAAACCGTTAAAATCTTTAGGTGGGCAGCTCCGTTCGCATAATATTTTTGGTTAAAGATGGTGACTCTGCGCGCAGCAGGCAATGTGCTGACACCCCCGCCGTCCCTATCACAAATTATGGTAACGGAGTACCCCACATAAAGATAGTAACGGTTTCGTGGGACCCATGGGGTACGACAACATCAACACGAAGGAGTCGCTCATTGAACGAGTAAGTACGCACGAAAGGGCAGACGAAAGAAATGAGGAGGGAGGTCAGGTGCTAAGGAGGATATCGCCGTTATAGCCATCGTCACCGTCCATCACCATTATCGCCATCGTCATCGTCATCGTGAACAGCAGCATCGCCATCGTCATCACCATCATCATGATGAAGCCTTCCTCATCGCAGAACTCCCCTATCCTCCTCACCTTCCTTAGTGGGAGGAGTAGGACGTGAGATGGATAGGTCATGTTCGCCCCTCCTCCTCACCCATGTCAGTAGGAGGGGCGCGAAACCAATTAAATAGTGTGGGTTTCCGACACCTTCCTCGCTCAGACGGGGCCTCCCTGGAGGGGTGGGAAGGGGCGCGAAACCATGTAAACAGCATGGGTTTCCGGGACCCTCCTCGTTCAGGCGGGGCCCCCTCTGGAAGGGTGGGAGGGGCACGAAACCATGTCAGTAGTATGGGTTTCCGATACCCTCCTCGCTCAGGCGGGGCCTCCCTGCAAGGGTGGGAAGGGTACGAAACCATGTAAATAGTTAGGGTTTCCGACACCCTCCTCGCTCAGGCGGGGCTTCCCTGGAGGGATGGGACGGGCACGACACCATGTAAATCTTATGGGTTTCCGATACCCTCCTCGCTCAGGCGGGGCTTCCCTGGAGGGGTGGGAGGGGCACGAAACCATGTAAATAGTATGGGTTTCCGATGCCCTCCTCGCTCAGGCGGGGCCTCCCTGGAGGGGCGGAAAAATGGGGCACGAAACCATATAAATAGTACGGGTTTCCGATACCCCTGGAGAGGAGGGGGGGGCACGAAACCATGTAAATAGTTTGGGTTTCCGATACCCTCCTCGCTCAGGCGGGGCCTCCCTGGATGGGGAGGGAGGGGCTCGAAACCATGTAAATAGTATTGGTTTCCGATACCTTCCTCGCTCAGGCGGGGCCTCCCCGGAGGGGTGGGAGGGGCACGGAACCACGTAAATAGTATTGATTTCCGATATCCTCCTCGTTCAGGCGGGGCCTCCCTGGAGGGTTGGGAATGTGCACGCAACCATGTGAATCGTATGGGTTTCCGATACCTTCCTCGCTCATGCGGGCCCTCCCTGTAGATGTGGGAAAGGGCACGAAACCATGTAAATAGTACGGGTTTCCGATACCCTCCTCGCTCAGGCGGGGCCTCCGTGGATGGGGAGGGAGGGGCACGAAACCATGTAAATAGTATTGGTTTCCGATACCCTCCTCGCTCAGGCGGGGCCTCCCTGGAGGGGTGGGAGGGGCAGGGGGCCATGTAAATAGTATGGGTTTCCGATACCCTCGTCGCTCAGGCGGGGCCTCCCTGGTGGGGTGGGAAGGGCACGAAACAATGTCAATAATATGGGTTTCCGATACCCTCTTCGCTCAGGCGGGGCCTTGCTGGAGAGGTGGGAAGGGCACGAAACCATATAAATAGTATGGGTTTCCGATGCCCTCCTTGCTTAGGCGGGGCCTCCCTGGAGGGGTGGGAGGGGCACGGGACCATGTAAATAGTATTGGTTTCCGATACCCTCCTCGCTCAGGCGGGGCCTCCCTGGAGGGGTGGGAGGGGCACGAAACCATGTAAATAGTATTGGTCTCCGATACCCTCCTTGCTCAGACGGGGCCTCCCTGGAGTGGTGGGAGGGGTACGGAACCATGTAAATAGTATGGGTTTCCGATACCCTCTTCGCTCAGGCGGGGCCTCCCTGGAGGGGTGGGAGGGGCACGAAACCTAGTAAATAGTGTGGTGCTCCGATACCCTGCTCGCTCTTGCGGGTATGGTATGGTATGGTAAGGTATGTATGTTATGGTATTGGATGGTCAGTTTGGTATGGTATTGTATGGTATGTGTGGTATGGTTTTGTATCGTATGGTAAGTCTGCTATTGTATGGTAGGTATGGTATGGTATTGTATGGTAGGTATGGTATGGTACGGTGTGGTATGGTATGGTATGGTACGTATGCTATATAGTATGTTTGGTATGGTATGGTATTGTTCGGTATTGTGTGGTATGTATTGTATGGTATGGTGTGGTATGGCGTGGTAGGTCTGGTATGGTATGGTATTGTTTGGTAGTGTGTGGTATGGTATGGTATGGTATGGTATGGTATGGTATGGTAGGTATGGTATGGTATGGAATGGTAGGCATGGTATGATATGGGAGGCTGGAATGGTAGGCATGGTATTGATATGGGAGGCGGGAGGCGGGAGGGGGAAGGAGAGGATGTTTTGGGAAAACAAGAACCCCACTCAGGATGTGGGGAACAGACCAAGTGCTCGCGAGCCTCACGAACATGACTCAATACTTTGCCCCAAGTGTATTTCGTATTGTTTTTTGAGAGGGATGGGTGGGGGGCCGCATCGGGTTAGCCGGGCATGCTCCAAATGTGAAGGCAGAGTGAATTTTGTATTGTTTTTTGACAGAGATGGTGTGGGGGGGTGAG